CTTGGCTGCAGCACATAAACCACCAATGAGGTGAACAACTTCACATAAGAACGATTCCTCCCCGGAGACCAAGCTTGCCTCCAGTCTGACTGACCTGCTCTGAGCTCAACACATGAAAACAAGCTTAAAAACACACAAACACACACACGCACACACACACACGCACACACACACACACACACACACACACACACACACTGTGCTGCAGCTAAAAGCGTTCAAACCGAAGAACTCTGCTGTGAGTTCTGTTTTTTTTGTGACACTGTTGGGTCTTTCAACTACATGATGGTTATAATGAGTTTGTTTTGCATATTTACAGTTTAAAATGAACATGTCAAATGTTGAGATAAAATATGTTTTGAATGAAAAGGAGTAGTTAAAGAAAAAATTTGAAATATTCTAACCCTTCTGTCAAAAGCATCAATCAACCGTCCTTGTAGATAAATCTTAGACACAACAGGCAATGTGTATAAATAAAAAATAATAAAAATGTGTATATATAAAAATAAAGAAAATATATATAATCTTTGTAATAGTACACTACACTAATAAATCAATAAACGTCATTACACCTTGGCTGAATATTTCATAAAAGCAGATATTGATCTTTCTTTGGTTTCTTCAGAGATTAATAGAAATATAACATTCCATTTGTTTAGTACTGTAATGAATTGTAAACATAACTTTTAAAAGTAGTGCACTAAGTTCACTACTTTAGTTGAAGACAAACTGATTTGTTGGATCTCTGTAGGATTTTCTGCTTAGAATTTTAATAATTCTTTTATTGCAAAATAAAAATAGAATTTAAAGACATTCCTCCAAACTTACACAATTTGAGGATCTGCAGCCAAACATAGCACACACACACACACACACACACACACCACACACACACACACACACACACACACCCCACACACACACACACACACCACACACACACACGTTTGTGTGGCTATCTTTGTGGGGACTGTCCATTGACTTTCATTCATTTCTGCAGCCTGAACCTCATCCTGACCCTAACCAAAACTCAATTCACATCTTAGTCCTAAATCTGACCCCTGACCCAAAAACAGTGTTTCCCCTTGTGGTGACCAGGTTGCTGTCCCCACAAAGAGCAGCGAGTCCCCACAAAATAGTATGCGTCAGGAAAATGGTCCCCACGAGGTATCACAAACAAACGTGCACACACACACACACACACACACACTCTGTCTCTCTCAGGGATGCACAGCGTGTCCAGTGTCATTGCAGTGACATCATTGATGGAGTCCACTGTGTTCTTTATGAATCACTGGGTTGTTGCTGTAGTGCTGAAAGAAAACTGACCACATGCTTATGAGTTATACACCCACTCTGTAACCATTCGTTTTTAAAATGAACAGAATCAGTAATAAACAGAGTTTAAATCTGAGTGAAGCTTGTAATGGTTAACTGTCCGTGCTGTGTTCAGGGATCCTCCATGGCGCGGGCCTGTGGCAGCTTCCTAAACAGCTCTACCTGCCTGCAGAAGAAAAGTCTGCTCTGGCCTCCAACAGCCACCTGAAATATGTCTGGTATGACCCTGAAGCCGTTAAAACATCTCTTCCTTTCTACAGCTTTACTGTTGCCCAGCTCTCCTTATTATAAGTGGGGCATGTGTTTTCACTTCTGCATCTGTGCTTTTCTTGGTTTCTCTCCAGGAAATGATGTATTTTTCTCTAGCTTTACCCTCCGTCATTTCCACAGTTTAGTTTACAAAGACGTCCGCATGTCTTTCTTTACCTTGAGTCCCACACATGGTAGCCAGTGTGCCTCTCCTTGTTCTCATAAATACCGCGCTACAGTTGTTCTTATCATTTAGCTGCACATCTGAGGAGGTGTTTAGTTGTTGCTCTCAAAAGGAATAGAATACCATTTGAGTGCAACAAATGGCATTCTATTGAATAGTTTAGAAGGTAGATTATAACTTTATTAGGATTTTATAACAGAAACCCAGAGGAAGTTATCTGTTGGTTCTGTTTTCTAAAAGCGTCGGGCGCACCGCTTGCTTTTTTCTGACCAATCTTTAAAAAGCCTGACTCTGATTTCTGCTGACGCTGATTTATTTATTTATTTCCCAGCAGACACTGTCAGGCGTTTACAATACTCCTTCAATGTCCCAGGCTTATTGTATTGAAAAGTCTTGAACAGTAACTGTGAAACTATGCAAACCCGTCTTAACTGCACATGATGCAGTGCTCTCAAAGGTAAATGAAAAGTAGTTGGGTGGGCAGAGCAGAAGGGGACACTGGTTGAATTTTGAACCTTGTTGGAGTAATTAAGATTTATTTCACATGTAAGTATCGGCCGATTGATGATCACCCAAAATGAAGGTACTCTGTGCACCCCCAGTCTCCAGTGTGTTAAAGGTTCCAGTACAGCTTCATAGAAACATTCAAGAAAGATTTATGAGCAGCCTTTATGTACAGAGGTTATCATGAGCTGCTTAATACATTTTATGACATTTTATTGAGGGGTTGGTTTGGTTTCCATAGCTATCAAACATTTATTCCTGCTAGTTTTTTAAGCTGCCATCAGGAAAATGTCCAAATTGTTGATGCATGAAAACATTCCTCTGGAGCTGTCATCAGCTGAGGGGCTTAGTGGAGTGTTTATACATACATCTGATGTTCTCTTGTGTTTTACTTGAACCACAAAGCCGTCAAACTGGTTTCCATCAGGCATTCGTCACTGCCTTTTACAACAACAGGTAGTCCGTACTTATGAGAGCTCTGGCTGCGAGCGGCGTAACACTGAGCAGACCCAAAGTGCCCAACTGTGCTCGCTTCAACATCTGCCCCGCAACGCCAGCACCTGCCTCCCAAAGTAAACACTGTCAGAGGAACATGGCTGAACACACAGAGTCACTGCTGAACATGTGTGAGGTCTGAATCACACAGAGAACTAAAGGAAAACCAAGAGCACAGGATGCATGGAGGCAGGAATGGTTTGCCCAGGGGTCAATTTTGAGCAATAAATCAGACCATATGGAAACCGTGACGATCCGATCTGTTTGCTCCTCGGTGTGACCACAGGAAGATGCTGCAGTCTCTGGGGCGCCCGGAGCTCCACATGGCCCTGGAGGTGACCATAGTGAGCGGATCGGGTCAGGAGCACGCGGGCTGCCTGCTACTCACCTCCGAGGTTCTGTTTGTGGTCAGCCTGTGTGAGGACACGCAGCAGCAGGCCTTCCCCATCACAGAGGTGAGCGCAGCGCTCCAGCTCAGCCGCAGGAGGAAGCTTCCTGCGGCTGAGCTCTGGTCTCTGTGCAGGTGGAGTGTCAGCAGGAGCCGGAACAGCCGGGTCAACTCACACTCACGTTACAGCAGCAGACGCTGAGCAGCGACTCTGAGGTGAGCCCATCGTCAGGGATGTGGAACACAGAGCAGCTAACTGAAATATTTCATTATTATTTTATTATCATTTAACATAAAGTTCATTCACAAGTTAGTCCAACCTCTGGCTTTCTGGTTAAAACATCCAGCAAATTGTTTAGATCAAATGAATAAAGCTGCATTTGAAGGCTGATGCAGTAATAATAATCCTTACTGTCATTGTAGAAGATTAAAGTAGCATTTGAGTTATAATTAGTGTTTTACGCTGGTTTCACCCACTTCTTAAAGGAATAGTTTGTGATTTTTAAAGGAAGGTTCTGTTGATAGGAGGTATTGATACTGTAAATCAATGGTGTTGAACTTCACCTGATTTTTATTTTGGGCCACATCAAGATCATGAATGTCCTCAGAGCCGTTTGTATCAGAATGTACTGATAACAGAAACGTTTCATTAACTGATGAAATTATTACATCTTTCTCTGGATTCAAAGAACACTCCTAAAATGTTCATCTTTAACATTCTTTCACATTGATGTAAAATGGATTTGATTTGATATTTAAGCATGCAGCTGTTATTTTAAAGTTCTAGATTTGGCACATGTGCTGCAGATAATCCACGTCCAGCAGAGGCTCAGACCGAAGCAGACCTATGCCAACTTAACATTAATCCACCTTCCAAGGCTTATTTGAATGTTATTTTAATAAACTTGAGACTGTTGTTAACTTTATGTATTCTTGATGTCAGAGTTCACTTGATCAGGCCCTCTGTCCCCCTGCAGGGCGACGGCGTCCGGGAGCGTTTATCAGAGCAGCAGTATCAGCGGCTGGTGGATTATGTGAGCCGAGCCTCCCAGTTCGTCTCTCCGTCTGCCGCCTCTCTGCAGCTCCAGCCTCCGGTCACCCTTGCAGAACCTCCACCCTCTGTCACCAAGTGCTACTGCTACCTGGTGGATCCTGTGTTTGCCCAGGTGTTTGTTAGTAAGTTCACTATTGTGAAGAGCAAAGCTCTACGCGTCGGATTCCACTGATAGCTCTTCAAATCTGATTTATGCGCCACATTTAACGTTTGCCTTAAAACCCTTTTCACTCTGTGCTTATTTCCTAACAGTTACCATGTGAATTAATCCTTTTTTTATGTAACTGGTCACTCATGCCTTAGAGGTAAAGTTTTAGGAGTAATATTTTCTTACAGAAACATGGATCTGTAAAAATCCTTTTGTTAATGTGAGCTCTAACGTTTCAGTGAGCTTGCAGCGTTGAGAACACTACAGCAGAGTTTCATCAAGTTAGTCTGAAAAAACCTCAGTGTCAGTCAGAAATATTCAAGCACTTTGATGTTTCATTCGTTCTGAAACTGTTTGGAGTTCTTCAGGCTCTGTGTTGACGTTCTGTGAATTATCCCATGCCAATGTAAAGTGCAATATTTATACATGTTGATAGACTCTAGAGATACCAGCTGTTGACCAAAAGCTTTACAATGATGTAACATACTTGTTTAAAAATAAAAACAGTGTTATTTGTACCTTGTGTTCATGCCAAACCCTGCTGATGCAAACACGTTGCCTTTTTTATGGTGTCACTGAGATCTCTATGAAATGTAATCATTTGAAACTTAGAAACTCTTAATAAAAACAAAAATGTAACTCACATGAAGTATTCTTTTATTTTTAGTGCAGCTAAAAAGGTTGCATTGAAACCGTGGACATCTCTACTTTCACAATCAGCAGGCCCCATAAGGCTTAGGCCTGAATAAGAAATATTTTTTAAATATCATACGTCTTCAACTTCTTATAATCAATGTATCAGTTACTCTCTCAGCCGTCTCTCCTGCTCAGATAGCAGGGATGTTCCTCCTGGACCCAAGGTTGGGACATGTTTTCACACGTCCTGTAGTGAGACAGGAAAACTCGTTACATAAAATGGCTTCAAGTGTGTCGTCAATTCATTAACTTACTGGTCGTTCTCGTGACGTTCCTGGTGAAGCCACGCGATGAGCTTTCCTTACTGCTGAGTGACAGGATGCTGGAGTCTGAGAAGAAGAGAGTTAGTGGTCAAAATCTTTTTTTTATTACACAGACTTAAATGTATTGAATTACAAATGTGATAACTGCACCAGTACAACACACTGAAACGCATCAAGAGCTTCACAAGCTTATCAGACATGGAAAAAGAACAACTTTAATCTGTTCAGTGGGTGCAATAAGGAGTAGAATACCAATGGAAAAATAAATAATGCATGATGTCACTCAAAGGGCACAAAGTATATAATTAGACAGAACAGATCAGCCCTCATTGATGGGGACATTGTCACTGATACCCCAGCTTGAATTTTTTTTGGGAGCGATGCAGATATCAGATCAGTACATCTCTACTTTTAGGGGAAACTAACTTAACTGGCAATGAATTGGAAAAGTGATTGTTTGCTTTTCTGTTTTTACAACTTCATATAACACTTGAATAGTAAATGTTTCTGCAAACCTGAGTCTGTGGAGACAGAATTCTCAAGTGAACTGAGCACGTCATCCCCCTCTTTCTGCTGCTCTTCCATGTACTTGGAGTATGACCACAGCAGCTGAAAGGAAATGTCAAGATTTAACGAGGTTCCATTACTGGACTGAACTCTTTCGATTAAGCTTGTGGTTGAGGCCGACAAACTTTCTCTGCAGTATTCGTTTCACAATGCTCACTGCTGTGCAGGTTTCCCTGAATTCAGACTTCATTTCATACACCAGCAGTTTTGATAGCTTGCTGCCCTGTGACATACAGGTCAGATTATTACACAACTGGATCTCAACACCAAACCCTCACCGAGTTACCCTCACAACTATCCGTCTGAGTCATCACCTTCAGGAGTCTACTGCAGGAAATCGATGTCCGACTAAATGATGATAATGGTTGTCTGACCATGCCAACATTAAATCTGTCAATATTTTTTTGTCCACCTTGAGAATATTATTTGGGACTAGTCATTTCATATGTAGGTATTTTCCAACAAAGAGCTGGACAGGCTTCAGTGTCTAAAACACAGCTAAAATGAAGCTTTACTAACCTAAAATGGAAAATACTTCACATTTTTGACAACTTTCAACAGAGTGAACATAGAGCTCATCTCAAAGCTGCAGTATAACTTTCAAAAACATATTTTCCATATGTCACTATTGTGACATTATGAGGCGGATAATCCAAAAGCTAATTATGGAAAGAAAACTTAATAATTTTCATGGTAGAACTGGCTAAGCTAATAAGCTTAGCCACCACTGCAGTTGTGCAGCAGCAAAGAGCAAGTAGGAGGGGTGATTGACAGCAAGACCCTCCTCCTGGTTCTGATTGGTTGTTTCTGACTGTGGTTTATTTGTGTAGATAGTTCTGGGAGTGGTGGGCAAAGGCAGAGGAGCTCAGTTTTTACAGATGATAAACTTTATAATTGTAAACTTTTTAAAATAAAAAATACATATTGCAGGTTTAATGCAAGGTTTATTCATCGTTTTGGGGAAGAACATAAGATTTTAAAGAGCATACTTTGGATATGTCAGTGAGGATTCTATCCTCCCTCTGTGTGGAACGGTAGAAGCTTTTCGCACCTAGATTATTTTTAGTTTTATGGCTGAAGAAAGAAAATATGTGGAAAAAATCTGAAGTTGTGAACTGAACTCCTCTCTGACCCATCCTGCAATAAGTAACTGAAAGAACATGTGTATTTAATTTACATGATTGTAACATTTTGGCAGGTGATGTACTTACATGGAATCAGGATTTATTAAAGAGAAATATAGTTATGACCAAAATTATATCCAGGCAATTTATTTTTATGTATTTTAATTTTATGGCTGTAAAAATTTTAAAAAGTAATGAGTGAGTAATTTTTCCAAATTCAACTTTCAGTATTTGGCACAATCACTGTGGGGTTTTCAGTTGTGCAATAGCAGCACAATTAATGAGCAAAAAAAAAAAAAAAAGTGACCCCTGAGAGTTCAAAGTGACCACAGTTATAAACATTGCCTAACATTGCCATTTTAAAGATATATATATATATATATATATATATATATATATATATATATATATATATATATATATATATGTCTATAGGTATATATATATATATATATATTCAGACAGACTGCTTTTACACCTGTCAGTCAAAACGTGCTTGTTTAACCTCTTGCCCCTTAAATTAATCTAAGTTCTGGAACCGATGGCTGCCATTAAAGGAGCTTTACTTCAGTAATTGATGCATTCTTCCATTTCAAATAGAAGTGTGTTCAAAGTGCTTTCACTTTTCACTTGGGCTGCCATGCTTTAGTGAAGTAAGAATAACAATGCTTTTTTTGCAAAAACACACAAAGTTTCTGCTTTAAGAGCAGATAAGAGTTTCTCACTGGTTCTGCATGAGTCATGAATGAGCTGGGGAAGATCTGGAACTCGAGTTGGAAGCTCGTGCCGTGTTGGAAACTCGTGCCGTGTTGGAAACTCGGGCCGTGTTGGAAGCTCGGGCCGTGTTGGATACTCGCGCCGGGTTGGAAGCTTGCACGTTGAAAGCTGAATCTGCGTTGGAAGCTGAAGCTGTGGCGTGACTTCACTCTAGGTCTGTCTTTTTGATCCGCCTCGCTACCATCGTGGTCATCCTTCTCCGCAGCGAGAGTAAAGGTCGACTCTCGTTTCTCCTGTAACAGTTAGTCATACAGGTCTAAAATGAGTTCAGATTTTAATCTTGCAGTACAATATAGTTTCTTATAACTTCTTAAACTTTGTTTGTTTGTTTGTTTGGGTCCACCATTGTTCTTCTTTCAGCTTCCTCCTCCTCCAGCCGTTTCTGTTTCCGTATTCTGGCCCTGTGTTTGGATCTCTTCTCCCGCAGCAGGGGAATGAGCTCCGCTTTGGAGAGTTTCTTCCTGAGCCCTTGAAACTTGGGCCAAAGCTTCAGCAGTTCACCGAACACAGCTATCTAAATAAGCAGAGAAGCATGAAGAATAATAAATTTTGGTTTTATTAACTGTTCTCACACACACATGGGTGTTTCTTCCCATATTAGGACTTTGCATTAACATCTGTTCTTTTTAGTAACTACATGACAGCCTAAACAGAACACTTACCAGCATATTCCTAATCTAGGGCAGGACAATAAATTGCAATAGACACGTGATCAATATCAATGGATAATAATACATTTGATAGAATGTTCAATAATTTCACTGAACTCCAATGTAGGCAGAGGAAAGACATTAGCCGCTCAGTCTCAGCCAGCGAAGCTACATGATGGCATTGAAGAATTGACTCTTTCTTTGGTTACCGAGCAACAACCAGCTTAGTGACTTGCGTTGCAGCAGATTCAGGTTTCGCCACCGTGACTCATAAGAAACAACGGCATGGATTGAAAACACCGGATGAAACAAGAAAGGTATTGCCACCGGTTTGGCAGCATTTCAGATATATCAAACAAAAAATCAATAACACAAGCAAACAGCCAAAAAAATTGTCTGGGGTTTTTCAACAGTTTTAAGGTCATTTTGATGTGCTGAATCCAAAACTCATATTGGTTTTGCTCAGTCAGGTTAACTTTCTGAACTGTGGAGCAACAAGAGCATCAAAGTGTGTGACTTGTTTCACCAGACGGATCGGTTTCCTGAGAATCTGGGATCAATGAGTGATGAGAAGGAGGAGAGATTCCAGCAGGACAGAAAAAAGATGAAGACGTAATGTTCCATTCACATAAACTTAACCTTACAAGTGTTTATTCACTTTAGAGAAATCCAGGTTTGTGACAATTAATAAAACAATTTGTTTCTCCTGAGCCCTTTTTTGGATGAGAAATATTAACAGAAATATATTGATGATATCACAAAAACGTAATCAATATCGTCAGAAGATCAAATTTCTCCAAATCGAATTGGAATACAAACCTGACCTGACGGAGAAAAATGGACATCATTTTTGGATTCAGCGCTGCAAAATATTCCTAATTCAGTTGAAAAAAACAGACAACGTCCAAAAAATATTATTTTTGGCTGAAAAGGAATACCGGGTGTTGAACTGGGTGTTGGCCTCTATTATTTCCATATGTTAATGCACGCATCTCCAAATTATTGTAACTTTTGACATTTTTTAACACAAAAACTCAGTGGGCTGCTAGAGGACTGTGCTAGAGGCCCTACATCAGGGGAAATCCCTGAAACAATTATATTGTGATAAGCTTTCACCTATATTGTCCAACCTTATCCTAAACAAAACTAATTTCACACCGTACCTCTCACCCTAAACAAGGGGGTCCACCACATTAGTACTGGGTTCTGGCCCCTATAAGACCCATCGGTCTTCAGAAGGTTGGTAAATATGCCAGAGAAGGTCCTAAATAGAAAAGCTAAACAAGTAAACACACAGAGCCAGTACCTGTGCCTCTCTGAAGATATAAGGGCCGAGCTCACGACGCCTTTCCATAATACGGCGAGCCTGATCATGAGAAATGTTGATCTGCACCGATGGTGGTACGGAAGAGTTGATGAAACAGCTAATGATTGTGGAGATTTTCTGCTGGATGATGGTCAGACTGCTGTGCGAATGGCAGAGGTCCTGTATTCAGAGAAAAATAACGAGTGTAATGCTACAAGATTTCTCACACACACACACACAGAGGGAAAAATGTAATATTTCTGAAGGTATGAGGACTGTGCAGCCGCCAGCAAAGAAGCTTCTGGATATTCACCTTGTATCTCTGTACCTCCACCCAGAAGCGCACATCATTTTCCAGCAAGTTTCCTTTCACAGACACATAGTCCTGGAAAAGCTGGCAGGTGGACGGGTTGAGAAGAGCTCTCCGAAACAGAAGGATATCTCTGGAGGTACTCGTCATTGAACCCTCCAGATGAAAACAGGGAGCTATTATGTTAATCAGTTCAACAGGTAATAGATAAAACATCTTATTTGCCAGTGAAAACATAATATAGGGACAATTATGTAGTCAGCTAAAGCCCTTTTCTTTATAGGGAGGGTATTATGTATCTTCCTGGCACATAGTACCATTCTATAGCACAATTAAGTAACAACATTAACTTCAGTTGTTATAAAAATAAAGCATAAATCAAATCTGACTTCACAGAAATTTTACTTTATAATTTAACACCTTGAAATTGGGTCTCTGTTTCTTTAAAAAAAAAAAAAAACTCCTGCTCTTTCTGACACTCAGCCTACAGGAAGTAATCACAAAATAGCTCTATTAACTCTACGTTTTTACCAGTGTTGCAATGAGAAGTAGCTCGTATATTGAGCTCTGCAGATGTGCAGTTCCACCACATATCTGGTGTTGCTAATCTGAAGGACTAGCGGCTGCAATACCCTCGTATACCCCTGCTAAACGAAGGGGAGCAGCTCTCCTTCGTATAGCGGGGGAGGGCTGCTATAGAAGGAAGAAGCTCAGAAGCTTGGAAACTGCAGAACCGAGGAGGAGCTGCACCTCGAAGCCAGAGCTCGGTCCAGCCAGGCAGTTTGTACAGCTGAATGGAGATTAAAGGATTTCTCAAACATGCATGAAAGAATCTAAAGCAGCACTCCAGGTAGGTTTTCATTTCCCTGTATGAGGGAATAACATTATAACATGACGTAAAGCTCAAAAGTCAACTTTACATAAGACCGCCCTTTTAATTATTCTGTCACATGAAAGTTCAGCTAATATTTAAATCTGTTTGAAAAAGACACGAGTTAAAGTTAAATTAGCTGAGCAAACATCCTAACGTCTAATGTAGCAGCCGAAACAATGCAAGAAAGAGCTTAAAGCCAAATATTCCCTGAAAATCCCTGATGCCTGGTGAAGAAGAAATCCCTCATTTCTCTCTGTTCTTGAAGGGCTTCTTCTCACCTTCCTTGCTCTGAGCCGGTTCAGCAGTATGGCTCTATCTTCTGATTGCATCTGTCACACAGAAACAAAGGCAAAGAGTCAGGAATCAAGACCTCGAGGAGATGCCTCACACACGTCCCTGTGATGCTGTCTCTCCCTGTCGCTAGAACTGAATCCCTCTCTCCTTTGTCTTCGGTCTTGTTTGTTCTTTCCAATCCTCCCCCTCTGACCTTTTCTCCTCATTTCACCTCTTAAACATCTTTTCCACTCTTCCATGCATCTCACTTTCCAGGCTGTAATGTTGAACTGCATCTACCTTTCAGTATCTAATGAGAAGATCGGTGTCACTAAACCCTGTAAACTTGATAACATAATGAGGCAGGGCAGCAGAATCTGCGGTTTATGCGTTTCCACTTGAAGAAGGAATCTAAGAGAGCGACAAGCCAGTAAAGGCGTTCAGTGGCCGATCCTATAACCTTACTGTGTGTGTGCGTGTGTGTGTGTGAGCACATCCATTATACAGACTTTAAACATGATACACATCACAACTGCGGCTGAAATATTTAATGCACTTATTGGCGAATTAAAAGAGATCCAATTACAATTTGGTTCTAGTTTAATGAGTCTATTCAGTCCATTCTCAGCATATCATTGAAACATTTAACAAGATCACAGTGCCTTGAAAAAAACAGAAACTTCACACCTCTGAATTTTTTCACATACTGTCAGATCACAACCAGAAACTGATATTTTTATTTCAGGCACTATGACTTGGTAAAACAAGTTTACCACCACTCTCCTGCTGTACAATTATGCACTGCTTTGTGTTACTGTGCCCTCGTATGTCAGGGGGGCACACTACTATTATTTCATATTGAGCAAACCTCAATATTATATATATTGAGGTTTGTGGTTATATTTGAAATATATTGAAAAATGAGTTTGAAAAATGAGCAGGAAAACATTTTTGCTTTGCAGTAAAAGGGTCTGGATTTTATATTTTGTGTTTGATAGAAAAAAAAAATTCAATTCCATGACACCATTTACTAAACAGATTCAAATACAAAACAAAACTGTTGGAAAAGCAAATAATATTAAGTCTCCAAATACTGTTTATATGCATGTTAAACCTAGAAACCTCATCACTAGCTGCCATATCAATCTAACTAAGGGTTTTTGGGGTGACAGTTCAGGGGTTAAACTTTGTCCAGCTTGCTAAAGTTCCTCTAAAACTTGTGTGCTGTAAATTTCTACACTAAAGGTAGCAGGATGCCACCCAGTGGTGGATAGGAAAATGAATGTAAGACTGATGCAAGGTGCCTAAACCTGTTTTCTAGCATTGCAAGCTTTTTTTTTAAATTATTTTTTAAATCAGCAATTATTTCTTGTCAGAAATGTTGGTGTCAAGCGTGAGGGATCAAGATGTTTACCTTTTCCTTTTCCTTTGCTTTCTGTCGCTCCATGAACTCTTTTGTGCAGAGGAACAAAGGTATCCATCTGTCATCAAGGTAACGCCTGATTATATCCTGGATTACAACCACAACCAGATTTGGGAGGATTTCTGACCGCAGCCTCTCCTCTCCACCTGCTTTCTCTAAAACCTACACAACCAGGAGACATAACAGAGAAGGAGGGGGAAAAGAATGCTTATCATAGTTTGTTTAAAGCGACATTAAAAAAAAAACACAAAGCAAGTAAATGCACAGGCAAATGAAACCCAACAGTGAACCTCTCCCCTTCTCATCTCTTCCTGTGCTCTGCATTATTCCCACAAACTCTTCCCTTAATCTTCTATCTTTTTTCGGTCCTCATGTGCTGATTTCTTCTTTTCTTACATCTCCTTTATTCTGTTTTTCTTTTTTATTTGGAGTGCACACAGCCCTGCTTGCTCTCATTCACTCTGGTAAGTCTTTTGAAATGAGAACCAGTTGCAGAGAGGGAATCACGAGATGAAAGAGGGGCATTATGTGACTGGATGACTGAGCGACTGAGCGAGTGAAGGGCCAAAGCAGTAAAGCTGTCACACTCTCTGCATTGCACACACAGAAGAGAACCAACAGTGAGACATAAGAACAGCTGCCAGTGCCAACCCCCAAAGAGTCAGAAGCACTAGAACTGGCTTTCTAATTTAAAAGCAATTTTAATAATTGTTTTGAAGGCATTTATAGGATGACGCTGACAAATCACAAACATCTTGCCCCACAGTTTAGATCATGTCAACACAAGCTGTTGTTTTCGTTCAATAAATCGGAGTAAGTGCTGTGTGAATGAAGTCAGTCTGATCTCGGAGCGTGATTTTGAGCTCATGTAACAGACTTTGAACTAAAATTTAGATCAGGCCTAAAAAATCCAACCTGACCCAAGCAATTAGGCGTTTTGTCAAAGCCTGATCTGACCTGACTAATTCACTTCAATTAGGGGCTCAGAGTCTGAAGTAACCCTGACATGTAATTTTAATTAAGATCTAACTGCTTACAGTTTTTAGACCACCATTTAAGTAGCAGTGTAACATCTGGGATGTGGAGGTTGATGGGATCCTGCACTTGTTACCATCTGGAGAATTTCTGCACTGCAATCAATTTGTGCAAATTGATTACATATAGATTATCACAACTTTATATCAAACATTTTGGTTTGGCTTTCTCCGTGTTGCAACCTTATCAAACTCTTTCCAGAAGTCGAAGGCTGACCCAACCATCAAACCAAAAAGTCTGGCCTGACCCTGCCCGAATTTCAGTTTGTTCCGGGTTGGGCCATAAATCCAAAGTCTACCTACAACAGCTGGGAGGGAAATCTAGAAATGATCCGAGAGTCTAGAAATCCAATCTGAGATGGATTTAAACTTATAATCATTGTTTCTGAAGTTGAATAAAAAACATTTAATTCTCAGGAGGTTGTTTATTGCCAATTCTCCAGCAGCACCCAGGATCGCAGAGGAAAAAAAAGTTGAAGCTGCAGCAGCCTTTATTGTAAAAAATTTGTGGATTTTTAGTCAGATTAAATTAAATGATACATACTGTTTGCTGTTGTTCTTTTGTGGCAGGGCTGTCAGGACCAAAGAAGTAGTTTTCACTCAGGTACTTTTTAACAATCACAGTTGTCTTCTCCATTCTGAAGGTCTTGTTGGTCTTAGAAATTGTCTTGTACCGCTCTAGGTCCAACCAGCACATCAAATGAATGCTGCACAGGAGCAAAAAAAAGTTAAACCATTGAATAAATTTCATCTTTCTGTATATACCACCTCTCTGCTTGGTACTACTACCTCTTACCTGGCTTCATTTTCTTCCAAGAAAGTCATTAAGTGTCCGATCTCTTCAGGATGACGAAGTAAAGTCGGTAGACGATAACCTTGAAAATTTGTAGGCACTTTGGACCACAGACCAAGGTGTCGGGGAGTCTTTGAGGAAGGAAATGGCTCGACGGATATAGGAATATTCATGGACTTCCACCGCTTCCACTGAAGAGACACAAGAAAAAATAAGACACAGAAGGGAAGAACACCATTAAATGGGTACGCTTAAGTCCGTTTATCTGTGAGGATGGTTGCTGTGTGGCACAGCAAAGGATATTCAGCTTTGTTCCAAAGGAAACAGGTGAAGATTGTTCCAGGTACATCCATTCTGTCTGTTCCATTCAAGGCTTCTTTCACAGTTTTCAAATCAAAACTCCATCTTTTTAACTTTTAGAGTCCTCAGTGCTTAAATTCAGTTTTAAGGTAAAAATACAAATGTTTACCATGAAAACAAATGGTTAGCAGATGGCTGTATAAAAAAGTGGATGGACAGACAAACTAATTATGGGTATATCTTTTACACTAAAGAACAGTCTGACTTAGGGCTGGACAATAAATCAGAAATAGGTGTTGTGATAAACACAAGATAAATATCAATGATCTGATAGAACATTCAGTATTCATTGTATAGAATATTAACTGAACTCTGATCCATAATCGCAAAGCATTCAGATTACAGATGTACGCAGAGGAAAGGCTTTAGCTGCTCAAACTCTCATGACAAGCTAAGCAAAAGTAGCAGCATCAGCAAACTCACTCACTCACTCTTTGGTTATCTAGCAACAACCTGTTGAGTAACTAGCTCAGTTGTTGTTTAAGGTTTCGCCATTGTGCCTCATAACTGCTTAAAAATAACAAACTAATGGCAAAGAATGAAAACTGTGGATAAATGAGGAAAGGTCATGGCACCAATTCGGTAGTATTTCAGATATTTAAAACAAAAAACTAATCAATAATTATTGAGTTATTGATATTGACCAATATGAAATGCTTATATTGTAATACGTTTCTCAGTGTGTTTATTACCTTTTTGACCTGTTGCCTGCTGATCCGTCTCTGCTGGTGCTTTAATTCCTTGCAGATCCTCAGGAGTTCTCTGTACTCTGGACTGTAGAAGCTCCGCTGCTCATCGTGCACGGGCACCTGGATGCAGATAATAACTCTTTAGCTGCCTGATTAAACATTTGCAGGTAACGGATCTTTAAATATGGATCCAGGATAGGATTTTCTGAATATTAAACAGGACATTATCGTTATTTTACTTTTTCTGATGTTTTTAAATGCGCTTAAATCAAAAAGCCTTCACAGTACCGTTATGCCAGTGTGTTTATGTTCATTGCAAACTTCAAATGTGTTTTATTTGGATTTTATGTGATGTGTACAATTGAAAAAAAAAAAGATTATGATTACAAATGAAAATCAGAAAGAAAGGGTGCCATGTATTGACATTTAGGCCACCTGAGTCAACACTTTTTAAACCCACCTTTGATTGCAATTACAAGAGCAAGGATGCTCTTCCTCAGTCCCTGATCTTTTAAATAATCCAAAAACATATGGCTGTCTCCAGGCATTAAACTTCATCATTTTGTGCCACATCATGCTGGTTTGTCACATTCTCAAAAAATATGTTAAAGCTTAGATTTGTATTGCAAAAATGTGGAAAAGTTGAAAGTGTGTGAATATTTTACCAGGCACTGCAACACTACCAAACACTGACCAGAAAGTAAGATTAAACTACAGCTACAAACAATTAGAAATGCATTGATCTGATATTTATGTCGACATAGGTCCTGACATTATTTTTATCCACAACAATCTCCACTGTTTATGTTGTTCTGCACCTGCAGAAATGACTCATTGTCCCCCTGGTTCAGTTGTGTCCACGGCTCCAGAAGGATGTCCAGTGCATGTTCCTCCACCCTATCAAACAGCTCCTCAAAAGCAGGCTTCAGTTTGTTGTACACCTCTCTTCTGATTTCGGTCTTAACATTTAAGCTCCTTCTGGCAAAGCTGGAGATATATGTGGAATAAAGGACCTGGGAAGGAGGAGAGATGAGAAAATCTTTTCAAGTAAGAAACTTTTTTTTTTTTGCAAAACCACAATCACTTTCATCATCACCATTGCTCTCTGCTTTTACAATACCACTTTCGCTCATCAGAGCTGCCACCACACCAAATAAATGTCACTCATTTAACCCTCCTGGCTATGGCACTAAGGAAACAACATTAAATGTCATCCCTCTGGTGAATTAAAAAAAGTCAGCATCCCACTGTGATGTGTTCTGGACCGAAACATTCTTCTCTTGTCCTTGGTCCCAACATGGTCGAGCACAATAGCTCTAGGTGACTAAACTGGCACAAAGAACTGTGGGTGGAAGTCATTTGTTTTTATGAGAAATTCAATTTCTCCACCTAAAGCAGGCGTAGTAAGAGAACACAGTTCAGAATGGTGGAGGTCAGGAGACACAAATGAATGGAATGTATCAATATATTGGCATAACAGGGATAGCAATGATGCTTCTGTGTAAATGTAAAAGGGAGGAAGCAAGAGCACCTCATGGACCTCAACAATTTTACATTTCTCTTCTGGTTGATGGCTTAGAATACATTGAAAAACATTCTCTGAACATTTGATTGATTGTAGTATGTGGCCATAAAGATAGGACAGGTACTGCAGGTACTGACCTGTGCCTCTCTCTGCACAATATGGGGGTCCATTTGCTCCTGTTGGAACAGTTCATGGTAGTGCTGCAGGTCTGTCCAGAAGTAAACTGCGTTTACCCACAGCTAAAACCACACACAGAGAGTCATTAGCATATTTACTTCACCCATATGAATCAGCAAATACCTACCATAATATCATCAATGTAAAATGGAATTTTTAAACTTTTTTAGATTTTGGGCATAAAAAAAGTCACAAAAGGCAGTATCCATATGGTCAGAAATTCTTTGGGTGAAAACAAATGACTGGACTATCATTACACTGTACCCTTTCGATCAGATTAAAAGTCTGTGGATGTGTTGGAATCAAACAGAGATGCAATTAAAAAATGGAAACAATAATTTTTTTGGCATATCGTCCTTATCTATAATTGTTAGGATGATATTCTTTTCAAAACAATAAACCCTCAATTCCTTTTTACCTTTTACCAAAGACATACAACAAAGTGAAAGGGAAATACTTTAGGGACAGTACAGTACAGGACAGAACAACCAAAACACATCAGATAATAACCCATCACAGCCACTGATGAATGTTCGATAGATCCTATTCAACAAATCTTATTTGCAAACAAATCAAAGCAGCTGGTGACCTAAATATTAGGAAATATGAACATTATTACTTTATATCTCCCCACCACCATTGCTAACGGAGCAAAAATGTTTGAAATGCCAAAGATATGCATTACAATTTGTAATAAATCTACTCTCCGTAAAACAAAATGATTTAAAATAGCCAAGTTGTCTGGACTACTTAGTCAAGAGAAGATTGTTAATCCAAGCCATAGTCTAAAGCAGTAACAATTTCAAAAACTGTAAAAACTATTATCTTTAATTAGATTTAAAAACTATTTTCAAAAAAGATTTTTCTTTCCGAAAATATCAATTAAAAAAAAAAAAACGACTTGAAAAGAGTGATTTTATTCAAAGCCAAAGTAACATTAAGATCAGAAGTCTCTTCCTAACACGATTTAAATCTTCAATTTATTGTTGCCTTGTAATCTGATCTTTGTAAAGATAAAATATTTTGAGCAAAAAATTAAGGTGTTCAAAGGGGCTCAGAGTTGTACTTCATATACCAGAGTAGTAGTGAATTGCCTTTGTGATGTCATATCAAATATCCACAGTACAACTGTTTAGCAGAACCTTTCAGATTTTTGTTTGTACCTTGTTTCCAGATTGTTCACAGTAGTGTGTGAAGTACAGCCCAGTCTGGAACTCAATAAACAGAGACGTCATCATGGATTTCACTCTTCTTTCGAATTGTGTCTCACATTTGGCAGACATCTTAGGAAATATATACACCACAGTATAAGCTACTTTATAAAATTGTAGGCTAAGATCTTAAAAAAAAAAGAAAAGCAGACAGCTTTAGGAGCCAGGGTGTCCAAAGTGAAGCCCCAATGTAATGTGAATTTGACCCACCAGTGCAGGTGGACCATGAAGATGAAGACTATTAGGGCAAAACGAAGAGCCACAAATTGTCAGACACAATACAAAGTATTCATCTTTTAATAAGGTTCTTTGCTTTTTCTTCACTTTCTTGATAGAATATAGAACCAATAGGCCTGTCATTCAGCAAATTTTGTTGGATGATAAATAATCCCAAATGTTATTGTGATAAACAATAATATTGCTGTTTTGAGCCCATTTTCAAGTCTCAAAACCTGAAAATGATCAAAAGATCAACTTTAAATTCTAGTGAACATTTAACACTGAAAACTGCAGATTCTTTTAAAGAACAGCAAAAGCAATACATACAATTAATTATGAAGTCTCTTTAGACAAAATTGTTCTTCAAAAAATGAGATAGTTGAGACCAAAGCAGCAGATTGAACTTTTGTCATCCAGTTTTTGGTAGAAAAAGAAAGAGAGAAGAGAAAAATGATAAATCATGCAAATGGAAATTATTGAGCTTGTTTTAATTTATGCAACTAACCGATTCACTCCTCATTGCGAGAAGTCTAAGGACCACATCTGTCCATTGACTTATGCTATATATGCTGCTCATATATCTGCTTTTAATGACATTAAAATATTTTCAAATAAAGACTGACGAACTCATGTTTTTATTACTGAGAATTTACTGAAATTCTTTTTTTTTTCAGTTAAGTCCTAAATACATGAATAAAGTAGTTGCATTTCTTTCCAAAAGGAAAACATATAAAAGTCTTTTGAAGTTTTGGCTCTATAATGATTTACACCTTCCTTTCCTACAGAAAAAAATCTGACAGTTGTCTGTATTTAATTAAAATATTTCTTGCTTACTTCATTGCTGAGTAAGGGAAAAAAATTGTCAAAACTTTTTGTGATTTTAGTGTTTAAACTATTTTTATTTTTCGGCCCAGATGTACTCTTGAGCTGAGTTTTGTAACATGGCTTTGGTCCATGTTTTAAAAGATTTGAACACCCCTGGCTCAGAATAAGCATCCAGTGAAATGACATGAGGCCTACCTGAGTCATAGCAGAATGATGGAATGGGGACAGATACTCTTCAGAGCGACTGCCAGGCTGTCTCCAACACGTCTTCATCCAGTACCGAGGTAACCTGCAGGACAGATGGATGAAGTGTGCATGTTAACTGGCTGTCCGCTATAGATAAAGACTCTGTTAAATGTGAATATAAATCTAAACTGTGGACCACACCAGTAGCTGAGTAGAGGCTCAGTTAGTAGTTCAAGAACCGAGAACAATTTCTCCTCTGTCCAGCAGGGGGAGTTCGACAGCCCCAACTTTGCAAGCAGCTCCACATGCAAACAACAAGGACTGCTGTTCCTCAGGTAGCAGTTCCTCAACAGAACTAAATATCTGGGACAGATGATACATTCACTTTTTACATTACATGAGACAAGATGCTTGAATCAGATAAAAATACAAATGTTTACCTTTTTTTTCGTTCTTCCGTATGCAACGCCATCAGTGTCTGAACATCTATCCACAGATTTAGAAGCTTCTCTCCTGACGTTCCTCGCAAAAACTGTTTGAACTCATCCAAGCCCGCCCTATTCTTATCAGCACTGGAGACTTGCCAGCACAAAACAGGACTCTTATCCTCTGCTGAGATGTCTCTACTATTCTTTGCTCTGTTCAGTGGTGTTGATTTCTTCCTCTCCAGTGTTGCTTCATCTTTATTTGCTTGCTGTTGGTCATCTGTTCTGGAGAGGTCTGGCTGGCTGAGGCTCTCAGAGGTTTCGGCCTGTTTTTCTCCCTCCAACATGTTCACAGCATCTTTAAGCACCTGATTAACCACTTTCCTAGCAAAGTACTCTGGCTGTTCTTCAGCAGTGAGGTTGTCTGACAGAAAACAAATTTAATCTTAAATTAAATAAATACATGACATTTTTAACTTAACAGTATTCGAACTAAAAATCTACCTGGTTCCGGTGATGTACTCTCCAGAGAATCTGAAGAATATTCTTCAGAAGAGGAGGGATCAAGCAATTTTGAGGTTTCAGGACTGCTAGTGTCTGTTTCATCTGACCAGTTTTTCAAATAGCTCCAAAGGGGTGGCTTCCACTGAAACAGCAGCTTGGCAAGTCTGGAAGAAATCAACCGTCACAAAATCTTAAATCACATGTTTGGTTGCTTAATTTAGAAACCAACTGAGTGTTGCCATATTTACTACTGCTTTTACTGGGTAGAAATTTGATTTAATCACTTTTCTGAACTCAAACAATAGACACAGAAATATTATTTTTTGTTCAAAACCATCATAACATTGCCTCTCTGATATTTCTAGAATAGGCTAGAATTGCAAAAATATGATGGTGTATTAGGGGTAATGTGTGTATATATACATAATTATTATTTTTATATGATATATATATATATATATATTTATTTATTTTTTTTTTTCCCAACTCAGAAATGTTGACTTTTTAAAATTTCAGTTTACAAAGTGAAAAATTTTGAGATCTCCAAAATTTTCCAGAAAAATGTACTTGAAACTTAAATGTCAATTTTTTTTTTTTTGATGTGATTAATTTCAAAGTTTTTTCTAGCAACTTTTGCAACTCAGAAACTTGGAAGTTTTTTTTTTTTTTTTGGGAAATAAATATAAGAACTTTTGAGTTTTTGGAAGAAATGTATTATTCTATCTAAACAAAAACAGGGAGGAGAGATTTTTTTTTTTATCACTTTCTTTAAAGTCAGAGCTTTACGATCACCCAGGTTACTACAGAAGTGACCAAAACAAATCATTGAGGAGTGGCCATCATAAATGCCTGATCTACCCTGTATCTAATTTCTTTTTTTTAAATGGTGGTCTTTATAGTGCATGTGAAGCTGTACCTGTATTCATGGTAGCTATCGCTCTGCAGGAAGAAGGGCAGTCTTTTTTCCTTAATCCACTGAAAACCTTCTTTTCTGTTGAGGCACTGCAAAGACACATCACTCAAATCACATTGAAAAATGTAATCTATACGTGAGCTGTTTTCCCTTCACAAGTTCTTACAGTGACAGCGAAACAGATGTCCGGTATAGGTGGCATTTTGGAAAATATGTCTGGGTCATCAGAAAGCATTAATGATTTATAGATTTTCAGGGTAGCTCTGATCTGTTTGGCGACAATGTCAGCTTTTTCAGTCACCACCTCAAAAAGTCCAGATTGCTGGTTGTATACCAAAGCTTCTGAGAAAGACTGAAAATACAGGGCATTAGAAAGGTTTAAGCTTTTTTTGTATGAAGATATCTGTATATTGTGTCTACATTACCGGCAGACTTAAGAACTCATTGAAGTAGTAAACCAGTAGGTCATCAGAGGCCAGAGAGCTCTCCTGTAAAAAGACAAAACAACTCAGCAACAGATAACTCTGCTAAACATAAGCTATAGCTCTTTGAAAAATGTGAATGTTTACTCACAAAGTTTTCAGCAGTAAGAAGGGGGGTTTCTTAAAATGGAAAGAAAAAGGTCTAATTTACAAGTGTGCAGTGCATTACAAATGTTCGAGAATGTTGAAAGTATAAGCTTTTACTCTTACCAGCTGAAGTAACTCCACACATTGTTCATCTTAGAAATTCAGAGGCATCTTCTAGATTTTCTAAAGACAAGCAAAGCAGTCGCTTTTAAACTGGTGGTGTAGTGTAATTGCAAACAGTCCAGGTTGCTATGGACTCATTTTCAACACAAGGACGACTGTAAAAGATTAACGAGAAAACAGAACTGAAGTTATTTCTGCAAAGTTGCGTCAATTGTTAATGGTCAAAGGTGGAAAAAAATAAATAAAAGCCCCATTAACTTTAAACAAAATCACTTTAATGTTACTCATTTGTATATAGCAAAAGAAAAATTTAAACGGCATTGTTGCAGTTCACATTTTCAAGCATTAGATGGCACCAAACCACAATGAACCAATTTGAACAAACCATGTAACAAACAAATGAGAAATGAGGCATTTTTAGAAAAACAATACAATTTATTATAAAATGTAACCTGGACACACACATGTGCATTTTTAAAACCTGACTACTTTAAACTTACAAAAAAAAAAAAAAAACAAAGTACATCAGAACCCAATTTCATAGTTAAAAATCTGTGCTGAAAGAAAAGTGCTGAAGTAAAGACTTTCAGTAGCGCAGACATCATTTAGAAACTTGCTGTAAAAAGTTGGGGTAATCATTTGCAATTTAAAATTGTCCACATGACAAACTGGAGTAAAGATTTAATTACAGTCTTCGAACATTTCTCTTGCTTTGAGCACTTCCTGGAAGCAGCTTGTCCTTTTTGCGACGGCCCGCTGACTGACTGCCGCATTCTCTGGATCCATGGAAAGCACACAAGCAGGATACGCAAAACTGAAAGCCACAGTCGACTCTGCTACACACACCTTCCCCTTTCACCGAGTGACACTTTGCGGGATGCTGACATCTAGGGCAAGGCTTGAGGCACTCGTCATGGAAGAGGGTTTTGGCAACCTGGGAGAAAGTTAAATGAAATTATTGCTAAAGGTTTTATGGTGCATTTAAAATTTGCCTTTTACTAGGTTATTCACAACTCACCTCCAGAAATTTGTCCCGTTTGGTGCTGCTGCCTGTGTTTAAAGTGCCGTGCTGTGGCGTGGCCAATGTGTTTGACGACTGGGGGGTGGAGTAGCTAGAGGTTCTGGATTGGGCCTGAATATTCTTTAAGGCTGACCTCTTTGGCAGAGCTGATCTGGTCTCCCCCTCAGAGATTTGGAGAACAGCCACACCATACTGTAACACCAAAAAAAAAGAATTCTTAGCCATCATGAGAAACATGCCAACACTGATCTTGCTCATGCATTCAAGTGTTTTTGATTGAAACGATGAACATTCCAACCAATGAATCATGTCAAAATGACAATTGCTCCTAGTTTGAACCACTGCACTGGTAGATGTAAAAAACACTTATGTTTGCAGAGCAGTACCTGAAGATCATCAAGTTCACTCAAGTGAATTTTTCTCCTTAGGTTAGCTTGGTGGTCCTGCTCGATAATTTCATTCCAACTTCTGCAAACTAGACCACACCTGTCAAATAAAGACCAATAATTCTAAAGATCTGCTCAATTGGGACATAATTCTATGCAAAAATAGCTCAAAAACTAATATAGTGAAAAAAATGTCATATTTTGTCACTCATTACACAGAGTGAAATGTTTTAAGCCTTTGATGAATTAGGTTGCATCAGAAATTAGGAACAGAATATTTTAAACATCTGCATTGTTTGGTGTCTCATCTTTTTCTTGACAATGCTCCATATATTCTCTATGGGGTTAAAAATGAGGCCAGTTTCCTGGCCAATCAAGAACAGTACCACCATGGTCACTGAAGCAGCTTTTGGAACCTGTGGCAGTGTGGGCTGGTACAGAGTCCTGCTGGAAAATGAAATCAACATCTTCATAAAGTTGTGAGCAGAAGGAAGTATGAGGGGCTCTAAAACATTTTTAGTAGATGGCTGCAGGACTTTACAAAACACAGTTGACCAGAAGTTTACTCTGGACTTCAAACAATGTGAATACGGTTCCTCTCCAATCTTCTCCAAACTGCGCAACCCTGATTTCCAAGCGAAATGCAGAGTATACTTTCATCTGAAATGAGGATTTTAGATCTTTGAACAACAGCCCAGTTCTTACGACATCTCTAGATCAGGAGTGGCTTGATACATAATGTGATATTTGCAGCCAAAGTGTAGGATTCGTCTGGATGTAGTTGAGTCAGCCTCAGGCCAATACTTGTGAAGCCCCACCAAATTCTTGAATGGGTTTTGCGTGACAGCAGGTGGCTCTTGCTCGTGAACCTTTTCTTACCACTGAATATGCTACCATTTTTTTTCTCATTTCCCAATTTTCTGAAATACTGCACTTTAGGTTTTCATCTGTAAGCCACAATCATCAAAATTATAATAAATAAAAGGCTTTAAATATTTCACACCGTGACATACATTTCTGAAATGAGTGACCAAAATATTGAACTTGTTCTGCTTTGATTTTTTGTACTTTAAATCAGACTTGACTGAGAAATGATTAGGTTGAATTTACAAAATATCTGACGAATTTGCGACTGTGAATTGAATTACTTGAATAAAAATATACACATCACCTGTACAGACATTCTGAGTTCAGCTTGCTGAATACATTAGCCAAGATGTGCCTCAGATTCCTCTTCTTCAACTCCGTCAGTATATCCAGCTTCCTCAGGCCCATCTTTCTGCCAATCAGCCCTGCCAAAGGCATACTGGTCCTGAGCATCCCTGCAATCTTTGCTAGTGCTGCTGTGAATTTCAACTCTTCCTTCAGACTTGGACTTTGACCTGCAGACTTCTGAAACTTGTACTGGCACATAGCGTGAACTAGCTGCAAGGCTGGAGTCAGAGATAGATTGACCGGGGTTGTTCTAAGAGGAGTCATGGAATGATGAGCAGATTCTGCATTTGTGGATGAAGGGTCTCCCAATGGGGTGTGAGGGTCATGTTTTCCAAAAACAAGGCTATTAAAACATCCAGCAGACATTGTGCTGCAAGGGGTGGCATCAGCAAAAACATCATCAGTAGAATGGCTGCTACATTTAGAAGGATCTTCATGTTTTCTATTTGCTGGGTCTTCCTCGGACTGAGAACCACCTTCTTTAAGAGTGGAAAGCCGGTGGTGACGATGCAAACGGGAGCGCCTCTTCACATCAGTTAGAGTTGGAGTTCGACCAGTTCCCTTTGAAGCAGAAATGAGAAGCTCCTGGAATGAGCCATCGTGGTCTGAGGAGTCTTGTGATTTATCAAGCGTTAAGGAACTGAAGCCACTGTCCTCATACACCGATCTGTTTCAAGGTTAGAAGGATGGTAAGATTAACATGTTTTCAAATTCAATTCTCTAAACATTTACAGCAAGTGACTAAATAAAATTCCTACCCTTTTCATAAAAAACAGCAGATTAAGGGCAGTAAGGAACTTAAAACTGTAGCAATGTGAGATCACTCCAGCCCCTACTCCAATAAGAATAGAGGTATGCTCTCTAGCCCTTAAAAAAGTATTCTTAATCAGATCTAGAAGCAAAAATCCTATCTGAGGGCTCAAAATATTAAAATAATATCAAGTTATCTTTTCTTTTTTTTCTCCCCCCCCCCTCACTCCTTGACTTGCACAAATAATTGAACACTAGACCTCTGGCTTTAAACATAGATACTGTCTATAGCACCTTTATGTAAAGTTCTTCATACAGAGGCACAAACCTAAGAGTTTATGCTAATAACGCACAAACTAATTTTGTGGAGCAGATCCACTGTAAATGGGAACAAAATTTAGAGTCCATTGACCACACCAGAGTGAAAAAGAACGTAAAGGAAACAAGCTAAAAAATAAATAGGAACATTTAAATACCTTCTCCAACTCAAATTGTGAATCCAGTCATTCACAGTTTTGTTATTGCTCTCATTAAACTGCTGAAGCAGCAACTCCATTTTAAATCCATTCGGAGTCCTCCATTTAATTTTTAAGGCAAAATGTAAACTAACGTGTTGGTCTGATAGAACAGAGCCTACACTTGTTTATATATAAATGTTAGGAGATTCAAAAGTCTCACTTTTTCAACAAAAGGAAATGGGAAAGATTTCTTGCTTCTTCAAAAAAAACATTTTCAGAGTTTAAGAGTGAACTTTATTCACTTAAAGAGATTTTTACATCTAGACATTAGACATATAAGTGCTTAGGATGCCATATTATGGAGTGATCAAACAGAAAATAGAGAACTGATAAAAAATAAAGTGGAGAATACAGTAATATTTAGTTACTCAGTAATTTGATATTTTGGAATTTAATAGCATGACAATGATACGTTTTGCCAGTCAATATTTTATACTGCCTCCTTTTATATAGATGAGGTAAAAGAAATTAATAAGAGGAAATGGTAATAAAAGAAACGCAAACTTACCTGATGTTTAGAGGCGTTTGGGTAAACAATGGGGTGTTGAAAACACTGGTGCTGTCACACAAAACGCTTTCACTGTTTACTGGCGATGGAAAGTTTTCTTTTGTTAAGAGAGGGAACAAACTGTCGCTTGGAGTATCTACATCAAGTTGACAAGATGAAATGTTCCCCCTGAAATCTGATTCAATGATTGAAACGCTTCCGTCAAAGGACGAGAAGAGGCAAGTGTTGAGTTTGCCGTCTTCACAGGTGGACGTCCGGACCTGCGTGAAGAGGAGCCGCCGTTTTCTGCCAGACATAGCCAGATCGTGGCCCATGTTTAAACTCCTGGTGGCTCCACCAGAGGTAACATCTAGAGAGTCAAATGATTCACTGAGCCAGTGTTCAGATCTCCTACTCAAAGAGTCTTCAGCATTTGTAGTAATTGGTGATTCTGTGCTGTCATTTTTGACTACGGTGGGTTTGGATGTTAGACGTTTGTGGCACAGAATAGAACCCCTTCTGTTTAGTTTAGGAGTTTCACACCAGTTCACTACAGATGCTGCTTCTCTGGTGTATTTGTCCAACACCCTAACGAATTCTCTGCTCTGTTCCTCAGGGGTGACATGAAGCCTGAGGTTCTCTTTAGGAGTTTCAATTAGTTCCAATGTGGACAACGAGCCAGAGCGGTCAACTCCGGTGATGCTCGCTGGGCTCTGGAACCAACCCAAGAGTCCGCTGTCAGAGCAGTCTTCATTATTATGCTGGCCTTTGTAGCTTTGTGGGTTGATATTTGACTTAGGAGTACACTGCATTGCCCTCAGTTTTCCACACAAGGACTCCATGAGAAAGGTTGTCAAGTGACCTGAAGATGAAAAAGTAAACAGCTAAAATGTTGACACTAGATGTGTCGACTGGTTAATATACAAGCCAAATTTTAGCTGGAAAGTTGATTACTATACATTTTTCATGGGAAAAGTCCATATAGTTTGTAGTGAATTTTCAGAGTGTAAATCCATTCAGTTTGAAATGATCCTCTTTAAATACTGTTCTTTTGCCATACTTCTCGGGATAGAAACACACGTTGAAGCCAAATTAAAATTCCACACATTTCCAGATAACGTAAGAACCCCGGCTTTAGCATGTCTGCGTCAAGACGCCTGGCATTTCTGAGGGAAAGAACGAGATGAACGTCGTCCCAGACTTCAGCTTTCAGTTGCTAAAGGCAGTCAGTCATCTGGTACGTCTCTAAGGTCCAGCTGTCTAATTAGCGTTGCTATGAGACCTTGGTGCCGCCCATATAAATCCTCGGTCGCGAGATCTGATGCCGCTACAAACACAGCTGTAACCGCCAAACCGAAGTCTGTTGTATGTCGGCTTTTAGTTACAATATATATGTAAAATTAACAAGAAAACCTTTTTTTTTTTTTTTTACAGGACACTGTGAAAGCCGCTCAGCTGCGCCAGACATAAAAGTCAGACTAATTAGCATGTCCCAAACACACCTGAGCAAAGACAAAACGAACTAGTACAGCAAAAACGTAGCTGTAGAGTTCTCCCAAGTTGAGACGCACTTGTTAAAAAAAAAAACTATTTATTTCAGTTAAACGTGAAACTTACCCTGTAAAAGAACTGAGCTGCTACGAAGGCCGTGTTATTACCTCAGGTTCAGTTCCAGGCCACGGCTTCCACGCCTTTTTGCTGCTACATATTCATCAACACGCGCACACACTCACACACACACACGGCCATCGCTTTCAAATTTGGAGCCTTACGTGATGCGTCACGTGCTTCCGATCAGTTCAGCTGCTCTTCCAGGGGTGGTTGCCACAGCGACGGAGTCTCCATTGCGCTTCGGTCAAACAGAAAACAGGAGCGGGTAAGGAAGATGGGTTTGTTTTATTCGCTTAGACTTCGCTTCCATTCGACATACATTAAAACGGGACGGTTTCAAACTAAGGCAAGGCCTGTCCTATTATGCTGGCTGAACGTTGAAGCTTCAAACAAATGTCTTCAACATCTTTTTTTTTGTTACCGAACAAGTTATTATTCGAGCCACTAGCTCGACTACTATGCTGCTAAAAGTTGTGCTGTATGTTTTACAGCTCCTACATGATAACCGAGGTTTTTTTGTTTGTTTGTTTGTTTGTTTTTTTTGTCACATTCTCTAAGCTTTCAGCCATGAGTGATGAAGCAGTTTTCTCTCGTCGAAGTTCAACGCAGGTCCCTGTGGAGCACCTGGACTATGATTACATTGAAAAATGCAAAGATGTCAAATATCTGGAGAAGATACTGAGAATTTTGAGGTGACTTGCTGTGTGCAGTGTGTGCACAAAGGGTGTTGCTTTTCTGTATATTTTTTTTCCTTCTCTGCTTGGTGTTTACTCTTTCAATATTTTTTTTATTATTTCCATTCTAGCAGAAAAAAAATAATGGAATAAAATAATTTTGCAGTGATAGATACTTGTGTCTTGATGCACGAAAAAGCTTTTCAGTCTCTTATCCACCCTTGATACAGGCTGGATAACAGGTGCCTGTATCCAGCTCCATTAATCTTTTTGCTTTTCCTGTTCTTTGCACCCACTGAAGAAAAACATCCCCACAGCAGAATGCTGCCATCTTCATGTTTGGGGGTATATTTGGTGGGGGTATATATATTTTTTAAACAGATTGGTGCATTTCAAAAACATTTTAGAAAGCACAGAAAGAAATAGCTCTTTAAAGCATTTCGAAAATACGCCAACATTTAAAAGCCATCTGATGAAGGGTTAGGGGCGCTAAAAAAAAAAAAGAATTCGAAATGAAAACTTCATAGAATACTAATCCTGACTAGCATTTTACAAGGAATTTGAAGTCCGATGACTTAAGGCTTACTTTGTGTCAAGGTCTGGTGAAGAGGGCATATATCCCCATCTGATCAAGTTCTGTGAAAGTCACTTGGAGAAACTGGACCCTCACAGCCGAGCTCTCAGGAAGGAAAACCCTGTCGCCACAGAAGCCAGCTTCTCTAAAGATGAGTGGAACCAAATCGTTGACGACCTAAGGGTATGATATCCAGCGGCATGTTTTCCCCGTTCAAGAATTTCTTCACGAAGAACGTTTTTCAGCCAAAAATATATTTCTATAGAACTTGTTTTTCTGTTTTGTTTTCTTCTTTTTTGGTAGACATGGACCGAAGAAACCAAAAAAACTGAAACCTTGCTGAAAGAAGAGTCAGTGTTTGAGGACCTGTCAGATGTGAAAATACCTCCTATAAGAAGTTCAAATGGCTTTGTTCCACCTTGTAAGGTACATTTATTTTACACAGTTATACAGTGTAAACATTTCTCTTAGATTTCATTAAATAAACATTTTTATATAGTGTTTTTTTTTTGTGCTGCAGACATCACTCCCAAAACAAACAAGAAATCCCTCAAAACGTGTTTTACCTCGTGATTATCAAGAATGGGACAAGTGAGCTGTTTTCTCTTTTGTCTGTTATGTTTTAAAGAAAGAAGGCAGAATGACAGCATCTGCATTCACTTTAAAATGCATAATCCAATATATAGATGCAATCATTAATAGTTAAATGCTGAATGCTACATATATGGGTTCTTGTCTGCCACAAAGCTTTCTATTTTCAGGTTCAATGTGGAAGAGGAATGTGACAAGATAGATGGGAGTGTGCAAAAAATTGACCCACCAGCCCAACTGAACTCTGGACATCTCAACATCAGGAGAGAAGTGGATGCCTCATGTAACTTCTTGTCTTCCCAAAATACATGTGTTGTATTCTACAGCTGCAAAGTGATAATTACACAATAGTCGCTGGGTATGTGTGTGACGTGTGTGTGGTGTGTGATGCAGCGTTGTCGCATCAGGAGAAGCTCCTTTTTGCAAATCGGGAAAAGGATAAGGGCAATGAAGCTTTCAGAGCCAACGATTACGAAGAGGCAGTTGCATACTACTCCAGGTCAGAGTCTCTAAACGCCTTTGCTACTATGAAGAACTTTACTTCATTACACATTATTTTAAACATATAGTTACCTAAGTGAAACATTATATTTTTGGGGAGATTTAAATTGTATTCTCTCTTTAATCTTTTTTCTGTGAATGGAAATAGTTGAAAGTTTACTTGCACAGTACAAATAAAAAGTGATTAAACTTGTCTGCATAATTCTTTCCCTCGTAATCCTGGTATTTAACAAATAGGCATAATTTTGATATTCCTAACCGACCTAAAGGAGGAACAAGTTTCGTCTTATTTAGTTCTTTTGCCCTCTTCTGTTACAGGAGCCTTTCCATTTTCCCCACTGTGAATGCATACAACAACAGAGCTCAGGCAGAGATCCGCCTGGAGCACTGGCAGAATGCTATGACAGACTGTCTGCAGGTGCTTGAGCTAGAACCAAGGAATAAAAAAGGTGCTTTCTTTTTTCAAGTGTAATCTTGTGAAATTGCAAACCTGCATGAGCCCTGATTTTAATGAGAAAATGAGTATTTATTGTGGTGTGTTTCATTTTAATCAGCCCTTCTGCGTCGTGCTACTGTTTACTATCATATGGGGAAGTTTCAAGTGGCCTCTGAAGACCTGAGGACAGTACTTCAGGAAGAGCCGAACAATCCTGCAGCAACGGTAGTTGACGATTATGAGAAGCATTCATTTTGTGCCAGTGAGCATCCTGTCCGCTAGGGGTCATTGTATTTCTTTAAGATTAAGGACTAGAGCAAGTTGGCTTGGCAGATAAAATGTTTTTAGACAGCAGTCAGATATACAGTGTGTAAATGTGAGAAAAAAAATGTTTTACAAATAAAAATATGAAAACTGTAACATGCACTTCTATTCACCCACCTTTAGCTTATTGCAGGGTTTGATATCTAGGATCAACGGGGATGTATCCATCCATCCATTTTCTGTACACCCTTGTCCCTAGTGGAGTCATGTATGACCCTGTATAAAGAGTTCACCAGTGTGTAATGTAAAAACCAACAGGCAGATGAGAGGTAAGGTTGTGGAGAAGTTTAAATCAGTTTGTTCCATGCAGTTTGCTGTAATCCACATACGGCACACATCAAACATTTGGAAAAAGGTGCATTTTACGGTGCTGTGTAAAAAAAAAAAAAAAACATTCCTATTAATTTTAATACTTTTGTAAGTCACTATAAGAGTTCAGTTTTAATTGGGAGAGGAAATGTGGCTATAGTTTTTATTCCCATAAACATGATTATTTATGTTCCTTTTATGTATAATTTTTGAGTAAGTTTATTGTGAAAATCTTGTTTGTTTTTTTCCCAAAGAATGTAATATTAGTGATGTATTTACTTTAGATCAGAAAGTAGAAGTAGAAGAAGGAAGGTTGTTTCTGTTGACACGCAGAAATTAATTTGGTTTTGGTTGCTGATCAATTCTAATGCACAAATTGCTTTTGTTTAGCAACTTCTGTCTAAAATTGAGAAGAAGATGTCAGACGGGCCACCAGATCAGCAAAGGAAGGGGAAAAAAATCCTCATTGAAGAGGTAGAAGAGGATTTGTGTTATAGCAAAGATGAACGGGAGGAGCAGAGAGGTGAGCTGAAACCTCACATAATTATCAGTATCTCAGACTTCCAGAGTTCTACACAGAGAGGAAATATCCAGATGTTGTTCCATGAGTGTTTCTAAAAGCCATTATGGAGTTCATTTCTTTTTTCTTTTTTAAAGCGTATCCAACATTTATTATTGTAAGGATATTGTAGAGAGACACAAGACTTTAATGAACCAAAGCAATGTTATAAACATAATTCCTCTGATGTGAGAGACAAATAGAGGCAGAATGAAAACAACTAAAAACCCAAGGTATTTGATGTTATTTATGTTTTAATATTGATGTGTATTTTGTTTAACTCAAACAGCTTTTCCGTTTTTGCCTCTGCCTTGGATAATAAATAAGGACACTGTGGGCTAATTTTTAGCGGTGTACTGATATATTGACCCTATTTTTAGAAGATTGGCGATTGGCTGATATACACGTGTGAAAATGATCTTATCTGCCTCGAGAAAGGTCTGAAAATCAGCCACTGTCCCCTTTTGCTCTGCCATGAGAGAGGACTGACCGTGGACTGGTCATGTCTGCACTTGCACATTTAACAGTAGTCACCCCACTGTTACCAACTTAGTTACTTTGTAGCAACTTTATTGACAAAAAGGAAAAAAAAATTGGTAGCAGCCAAAATCTAAATTCGTGCCCCCTTAGGACCTGGTAAAGATCAAATCTTTATGTCTTCTTATGTAGAACACAGACCTGGACGAGGGCACACTTTGTTTTTCCTGTGTACACACAGAACATCTGAGTGGGCTCTAATAATAGTACGTAATAAGTGCTGTGGATAGAGGAAATTCCTCTTGTCCTTCAGGGTTATGCGATATGTAATATCTACATGTGAGTAATTCCCTCCCCCATAAACAGCTTTTGTAATTGACTGCTCACAGTTGGTGTTTCCTGGAACTCCCTGTTTGAGGTGTAGCATGTGTCAACCCTTCCCCCTCTGCCCTGACGTAACCGCTGACTCTTTCCTGTGGGTGTCTCTGTCTCTCTCTCTCTTTCTATCTGTCTTCCTCTCTCCCTCTGTCTAACTTCTAGCTCGTCCGGTTCAACCCAGCCAGCCTGTGGGAGGGGAGGAGAGCTCTGCTGCTCCTGCTGAAAGGGGAGACATGGGAAACGCTCAAAAAAAGCCCCACAGTAGAGGGGACGGGGGTCCGCACACCGACACCAGCAACTCGCATCATGGTCCCTGGAGGAGCAAAGGAGGCACCTCGGATAAGTACAAAGTCCCAGAGGAGTCAAAGCAAAA